AATTTGTTTTTATAAATATTTTTACAATTTTTCAGAGGATAAACTTCAAGGAAAATGTCACTTTTTGCATTTTGTCAGGGGCTAAAACTCCTCGCAAATGGAAAAAGCATTTACATTTTGCGAGAGGCTTAACCCCAAAAAAATTTTTTTTGACGCACTGCAATAGCAGCTGACCACCTAGCCTGCGCCTACATGTGCGGTGCTGCAGACTATAAAAAATCAAATTGCATTTTGCAAGGGAGTTAGCCACTGACAAAATGCTGACGTGTAAAGCCCCTCGCAAAAAAATTTGTGACCTCCTATTTTGCTAGGGGACCAGTCCTCTCGCAAATTTCGTATTTGGGAGGGGTTTTTTCCATTTTTGAGGAGTTAAGTCCCTGGCAAATAATATTTTTTTATAGTAAAACATGATGATTTTATTATTATTATATATTGTGTTTTTGCTTGAAATTAATAAAACTTAGTTATCTTGATAAATTTTTGAAAGTTAGTTGAAAGAACCTTATAAATAATGTCATAAGTTGTTTTTCTAAGTGCTCTCAAACAAGTAGTAACACAAAACTTATGCTAATAGGTAAACTCGAATGAGTCAATAATAACAAACATTCAGTCTCATTGATCTTTTAATTTTTTAGCCTATTTAACACGAGTTGAATTGCTTATTTATAAATGTTCAAATGAATTACACTTTTAAGTAGACTAGTAGCCTAATCAGGCCTTCGAAAAGGCCAGGACTCATATCTAATAATAAACATATATATATATATATATATATATTTATATATTATATATATATATATATATATATATAATCTATATATATATATATACTATAATATATATATATATATATATATATATATATATATATATATTATATATATTTATATATATATATATATATATATTGATAGGTTTCAGGTCAGACTTAGACTTTAAATTTTAGCAGGTTAGATTCTGACTTGGCAAAGCCTAACTCAGTTTAACCCATTCCCACCCATAATTATTATGCGTAAATAATTAGTCAATCTTACAAATCCTATTATCCATTAATACTAACGTAAATGGCATGCATTAAAAAATAATAAATTAAGACTCATACCTAATTTTTATTGATTTGTAGAAGATGAATGATAAAGTATTTGGGAAGATTTTATGAAAGGTTTTGTAGAAGAAAGAAGTTAAGATTGCATATATTCGAAGTTATCCAGTATATGTATAAAGTGGTATCAACTAGTATGCTGACGCGGGGTGAAAATACATATGATTTATTCATTACAATAAAATTTGCATCAAGGTTCAACCTTGCACCCTTACCTTTTTTACTTTAAGTCACAAAATACATCCAAGATAGCATTGAGATGAGTGTTTTTTGTAGTCCTACTTAAAGAATCGAAGGGTGATTTAAATGAGAGGTTGGAGATTATGAGACGATCTTTAAAAACACGTAGTTTTCGTCCCAAGTAGAAGTAAGACGACGTACATGGAATATAAGATCAACAAAATGTAAAGTATTTTTAACCTAGGGTTGAAAGTTGAATAATATATCATCTCACAAGTAAAGCAATTTAAATATCTTGGATCTGTAATATAAAATGATGGAGAAATAGAAGGAGATGTAAACCTTCGAATTCAAGTTGGATGGTTGAAATATACAAGAAATTTAGAAATTTGATGTAATAAAAAAGTATCGACAAGCCAAAGGGATAAATTTTATTGAACTACGGTAAGACCTGTGATGTTGTACTAGACATAATGTTAATACGGTTAAGAAATAACACAAAAATAAAGTAAGTGAAGCAAAGAAGAAAATATCGTGTTCTATGTGTGATAAGACTAGACAACATAAGATTATAAAATGATAATATTAGAGAGAATATTAGGATAACACCTATAGTAAAAAAGATGGTGAAAATATACTTAGATGGTTTCGACATGAAAAAAGAATATTTATAAATTTGTAAATTTTGTAGTAAGGAGAATCGATTCATATAAAAGAAGAGTTAAACAAATATATATAAATAAATACTTTAAAAAAATTATAAGAAAATTAAAAAGATTTCAAGATTAATAATTTCGGTAGAACCATTGTCATAAATAAAATATTATAATAGAAGTTGATTTATATAATTGAATTCACTTAGTAAAATATGGATTTGTTGTTGTTAAATTATATTCTATCTTTTTATGTTAAGTATTTTACAATAATATAATAAAATTAACATTTAATTAACATTTAAGTATTTTAAACTTTATTATGTTTAAAAGTATAATATAGAAATTTTTAATATTATAGTATTAAAATATATTATATTAAAAGAATATAGTTTATATATTTTTATTTTATAATAAATTTCATTAAAAAAAGTTATTCACTTTTGTATAAAACTAAATAAAGAAAATGGTCAATTTAGGGTTTAGTAACATGGGTAATCAAAAACCGGATCGGAACCACCGATTTAGCCGGTTGGATCGGAAACCGCAATTAAAAACCGGTCTATATAGACCTGAAAAACCGACATCAAGAAGAATTGAGATTTAAATCAAAAAATTGATTAAAAATTCGTTTAAGAGATTTTTAGGATCAGATCGAATTTTGTTTTTGATTTATAAAAATATGATAAAAAATTAATTTTGAATCAAAATAATGCATGATTTAAATTCTTTTGAAATTCTCTATTCATTTGATGAATGAAAAGTAAATTTTGTATAGTAATATATAATAGATAAATACGATAAAATACAGTTCAAACGCATAGAAAATGATCAGACAATATCGTGAACAAACAACTGATAAAGTTATTAGATTATTAATTTTTATTATTATTATTATTATTATTATTATTATTATTATTATTATTATTATTATTATTATTATTATTATTATTATAGTTAAATATGTTTTTGGTCCTTATAAATTACCATATTTTATTTTTGTTCACTTTAAAAAAAAATAGGCATGTTTTAATCCTTACAAAAATATTATGCACGTAAGTCTGTGTTGTTAAAGTGATACGTGTTTTTGAAGGATTATTTTGCATAAATGTTTTAGAACGTTATAAAAAATTCCTTGAAAAAAAAAACTCAAAATTTGATTTCTACGTCGAGATTTTTCATTGCTTTTATCAATATCTTCTCATTTTAAAAAAAAATTAAAATTTGATAAATAAACATTTTATAGTATTCTAAATATGATTTTTTTTTTATTAATAACCATGTATTAAAATAATATTTTCGCAAATAAACCGGAGATTTCAGAAAAAAATATACGCAAATAACCATGTTTCAGATGACTCCCCCAAATGAGGAGTCATCTGAAATGGCGCATGCACCTTAGCATTTTGTCCTAGGCGCCATCTCACTTGGCGCCTCCCTTGGCTTTTTAGTCAAGTGAGATGGCGCATGCTCCTTAAAAGTGAGAGGAGGTGTCATCTCACTTGGCTCCTAGGGCAAAACTAGGGCAAAAATGCTGTTTTATAAAAAAAATTTAAAAAATAATAAGGATTAAAACTACATGAATAAAAATTTTTGTAAGGACCAAAATATATATTGTTTAATAAGGTCTAAAAATGAAATTTGAGATATTTTTTAAGTACCAAAAATATATTAAACCCTTATTATTATTTTTTATTATTATTATTATTATTATTATTATTATTATTATTATTATTATTATTATATTAAAATGAAAGATTTGAACATACATATCAAACCTATTTAACAATATAAAAAGGCTATAAAAATATATATAAAAAACTATTAAGTTTATCAATAAATATTTTTACTATTTAAAATATATATTTATTTATTTATTTATTATTCTTTTATATATATATATATATATATATATATATATATATATATATATATATATATATATACTATATTATATATAATATTTATATATATATATATATATATATATATATTATTATATATATATATATATATATATATAATATATATATATATATATATAATATATATATATATATATATATATATTTGTTTATATATAATCAGTTCAACCTAGATTTAACTCCGGTGAAACTTTAAAACCCCAAACTAATAAATATACCTATTCAATATTATGTCTAATTTTGATTAGTTTGATTAATAATCTTAATTAGGGCCTGACTCAAATAATATATATTAAATTTACATTGTAATAGTTTTATTTTATCATAACATTCACTGGCGATTGTCCATTTAAAATGAGAACAAAAATTATGTATGAAATTAGTCCAACATAATAATTATTAACATTTAATAAAATTTGAATTTAAAATCTTAAAATAAACCCATTCCTAAAACTCAAAAATTTTCACTCTCATTCAAATCTTCACCCGTACGCCACGCCCATCCGGGGGTTTGAAATGGCTCCATTTAACAGCACAAGAAATAATACTACTATTTTCTAAACACATGGAATCAAGGTTCTTTAAAAGTAGCACCATTTATGCAAATACATGGTGAAACATAGGGAATACGTATATTGACAAATGACCTCAAAATAAAAAGCATTGGTATTCATCTTTTATACAATACCACATCTAAGTCATGCTCTTCAATTCAACATGGGAAACAAAGTAGCTCAATTGTACCTCTCTGGAGCCCATGTGTTTTATATTCCTTCATTTTTCTTGCTTTTCTTTCTTTTTCTTTTCTTTTCGTTTTTCTTTATTCTTTTCTTTTCTTTTCTTTTTTTTTCTTTATATAAATCCAATTTCTTTTATTTAGAGAATCATATAGTAAAAGACAAACACACCTCTATTTTTATGCACCTTCCACACTCATTCTTTCTCTCTATACATCTCCTCTAAATCTAATCATAGTCCCAACATGGAAATTGATGCTAATGAAAATTTCTTTTACCACATCTTCTAGCTCAAATTCATGCACCAATCATAACACCAAAAATAGTCCTCAAAATAAAGTGCAAGAAAAGAGAGAGGAACAATGAAAATGACACAAAACACCCTACATATAGAGGAGTAAGAATGAGAGCATGGGGAAAATATGTATCTGAGATCAGAGAGCCAAGAAAGAATCAAGAAATATGGCTTGGAACATACCCTACACCTGAAATGGCTGCTAGGGCTCATGATGTAGCTGCTTTAGCCATAAAGGGTCATTCAGCTTATCTCAACTTCCCTAACTTGGCTCAAAATCTTCCAAGGCCTTCAACAACATCACCTAAAGACATTCAACTTGCAGCTGCAAAAGCAGCAGCTACTGTTTTTGTGGAAATTAGGGATTCTTGTCAAGTTGAAGAAAATGGTCAAGATCAAGTTTCAAGTTCAATAGAGAATGTTCAAGAGTCTGATTCTAGTTCTCCTTCTTCTACTTCTACTACTACTACTAATACTACAAATCATGATATTGATGATACACTCTTTGATCTACCGATCTTTTTCCTGATGGAAAAAAATGGAATTGTTTCTTATTCTTCTTCTTGGAATTATATGTGTTGTTGATAGTGGACTTCGGCTCGACGAACAATTTTTATCGACGTGGGAGTATTACTAATGTCGTCTTCTTCTTCGGCCCGATATCATGTTTTTTTTGTCATTGTAGTCGACGAGTCGACCTTAATTTTAACTTAAATCGTCTGCATTTGGCCACAATTGTTCGTAGAATAATGTTACTAACACACTCTTTTTAATAAATAAAAGATAAATTTTATCATAATTAAACTGTGGTAAATATTTTATGAGATTTTTTTAAATATATTAAATTTTAAATTTTATTTAGTATATAGTCGTATATCCTCAAAGACGGCACTGAATATATAACTATTTTGTCTAATTTAGTTTAGTAATGTTTAGATTAAAATAGAAATAACCAAAAAGATTACTAAAGCTTGAAAATATATGAAAATTGTACAAAATAATTAAGAAGAATCTTTTATGAACTTTATGTATGCATATGATTGAAATTTAATATTCTCTCATTATATTTACTGAGAATTAGTAAATTTATTAGATTTAGGGAGAATCAGATCCCTTCAATTATTTCTCACTTTAATAAGTTATTTATTATTAAGTTATTTTATGAAAAGATCCTGTCTTAAAAGAGGAAAGAGCATTATGCATTCATCATGATTTTATTCTCAACATATTGATGAAGGTTTGATGCAGTTGACTGTAAAGCAAGGAAACCCTCAAATATATATTTATTTTCTTTATCTTTTTGTTGGAAAGATACCGGTAAGATTAAATACATTATTTATTAATTAAATCATTATGATAAAATAAACAATCATTCAGAAGGACCTTGAGGGAATATTATTTTATACTAAGCATCACTTTATTATTTTATACTAAGCATCACTTTTTTCTTCATGTTTAAGTATTATAAATTTCATTTGATTCCGGTTTGTAAGTAGAGGCACATGTATGTAGGTGGCCAAAGAAGTTGGCAACATGCATCTTTAAAAAGAAATTTATAGGTGATTTGTTTTAGATTTTTAAGTATTTTTCCAATCAATTTGAAGACTATTGTAGTCCATATTTGAAGTATTTTCCAATCAATTTACATTAAAATCAAATGATGCATAATTGAAAGACATCTAATCAGTCCTCGAGTTACGGCTAAATGGTGCTACTAAGTTCAACTAGGTTTTGGAGGATTTATTTGGGTTTATTAGTATCAAATAATGATAAAACACTTCGAGGATAAGATATAAGAGTTAGTTAAAGTGTAAGTTACACATAGCTAAAGTTAGTTAGTTAGTTAACTTGGTCGGCAAGTTACATTCCATTGTATGACCAACATGTTAACCGGTATTCCATCCGTTTCTTTTTAATTATCATTTTTTGATATTTTACACATATCAATAAAACTAATGATTGTAATTATTTTTTTAAGCAATAATTTTTTTTTAATCTATAATACCCTTAACTTTTTATTATTTTGACAAAACTATCACCAACACTACTTTAAAATTTGAAAGTGATAATTAAAAAGAAACATAAAATTTTCACAAAAGTGACAGTTAAAAAGAAACGGAGGGAGTAGTATAATATTGTGCTTTTGTATATATTGTAATTGTTGGAAATCCACTAAAACCTATGGAGCATTTCAATCAAACTTGATGAATAAGGTTGTTATCGATACACAATGACAATAGAAAGAAAGAAAAAATGAGGAAGAAAGAAAATTAGGGTTTACAAAATATAAGGGGAAGAAGAAAATCATTTTATGCAAAGTAACGCTCTACCCACAAACTGTGGAAAAATCTGAGTTAGTTACAAAAATAGAGGTTACTCCCTCTATTTATAATTGAACTAGCTAGCTCCCTAAGTCAAAACCCAAAACTATAAAAACCCAAAATAGAAACCTGACCTAATTCAGTTAACACTTACTAAAATAGATCTAAGACAAAATCATATCGAGCAACCTGCTTCGACATTTCGACACACACACACAAGGCTATTTTCGACACACCCTTCTGTCGAGCAACATGCCGCTTCGACACAAGGGAATTACAATATCAACACACTACCTAATGCATTGTGTCTAACATATCTACATTCATCATAGCTCTTAGTCTTCTGAATATTTCGACTTGCACACCCTCCGCCATGATGTCTGCAATCTCATTCTCAGTTATGCAGTGTTCTAAGTTCATCTTCCCTTCTGCTACCTACTCTCGAAGATAATGGAATCTCATTTTGGTGTGCTTGCTTCTGCCATGTGCTATCGGGTTCTTCGCCAAATTGATAGTTGGCATGTTGTTGATTTTCATGGTAATTACTTCATGATTCTTCTCTGTTATCTCTTCCACCAAATTCACCATCCATGTTGCTTGACATTCACAAAAGAGAATCAACTATGTACTCTGCTTCACATGACGACAATGTCGCTAACGGTACTTTTTTCGAACTCCAAGCAACCGATGCACCACCTAGTATAAACACATAACCAGCTATGGATTTTTTATCCTTAACATCATTACACCAACTTTAGTCGGTGTATCCCACTTGTTAATACCATGGTTTTGTGATTGGCTAAAATTTTGACAAAATATGGTTGTTCATAACAGGTTGTGATGTTATATATTTTTCAACCAGATGCCGAAGATAATGTAATGACATCTTGGTCTGGTGCAACAAGTGTTGTTGTTTGAGATTTCTTGACAAGATTTTATTTGATTTTGAGATTCCTTTTGGATATATCTCAGTTATTTTTGCAGGTCAAGAATATGCAATCCAGAACAAAAGAATCAAATCTCCATCAATATTAAAAGTTTCTAAATTTGAATGTTAAGCTAATTTAGGATACTTGAAGATTTGTTCTAAGATTTTAGGAAATATTATCTACAGCAGTCAGCGCATGGATTAAGGATGAAATGGGCAGAGACTTCGAAGCCCATGGACAACTGAAAATTTATAAAAGGATGACCAATACCTAGGGCAGAATAGGTCTTAACAGGTTTTAAAATAAGGGTTTAGGTTTGAGAGTCTCTCATGTTCATTATGGTGTAAGTCACCCTTGTATCTTTTGATACTTGTGGTAGGCATAATATTCTCACTCAGAAGCCTTTACATAATGAGTTGATTATTGTTCTCACTCCAAGCATGTAGGCACGAGTTGAGTATTGTTCTTGGTGAAAGCTTTTAAGCAACCCAAGTATTGTTCTTAGTTAAGAGTCTTAACTAAGCATTTGTAATTTGGAAGTATGTTCTTCCTGACTGTTCCTAGGCTTAGGAGTATTTTTAGTTGTAATAGGGGAGTGTCTACTTCATAACAGTTCTTGGGACTGAAATTGTTTTCCCTGTGATTGAGAGTCTTTATCATTGCGGTGATTGGAAGTGAGATGGAAATTTCTCATATCTAGGGTGTGCCTAGGTAGAAGTTGCACTGGGTAGGGATTAGGCGGAAAGTTGTAAACGGGGGAGTTAAATTTTGAACTAGTACTACTGATAGTGGATTTCTTTTCTGGCTTGGTAACCCCCAGAGTAGGTGAATTTGCACTTAACTAGGTTAACAAATCGACCGTGTTCTTTATCATTCTGCACTTAAATTCTGCATATTAAATTTCGACAGTTGCAACCTTGTTTTAGTAGGTGTCGAAGTCGAGTTGCATTCTTCCATCTCAAATATCTTGATAATTTCACTTACATGTCTTCTTTGATGCATCATCAATCCTCTACTACTCTTGTAGAATTCGATGCAAAAGAAATATGAAATGTATCCCATATAAAAATTTCAAATTCCTTGCTTAGATCACCTTTGGAGTCTTTGATCTCTTTCTTGTAACTACATGTTAACAACAATTCATCGACATATAGACATAGTAGAGGTGTTATAACTAATTTTTACCCCTAAGATCACCAATAACCATATTGTGTATCTAATAAATTTATTAAATGCTTTATGTTCACTAACTATTAATCAAAATACAAAAATATGTCTTGTTTTCCTTTTTTTATTTTGCAAGGAAAAGTGTGAACCAAATGGATCAAACAAGTTCCCTTAGCTAGGGTTTCATCTGATCAAAGTCAAAGTATGGTTAATATGATTCTCAAGGGCTTGTGCATTTGGTATTAACATATAATCTTAGGTCATATCACCTTAAAACACCATTCAATGTCAATTGAATTGCAAGAAAAGATCAACTATGCAAGTTGATTCAAAGTGGGTTTGACCAAAAGTTAATATTTTCAAGTTCAAGTTCAAAAGATTATAATTCACTCATTTCTCAACATTTTTTAGTGATCCTTCGAGAATTTGATTCTCCTTGAAATTATATCCACCTTCTCTTTACAAGTCAAGAGCTAATTATGTTTGGAAGATCATCAAAAGTTTGGATACATTATATGTCATCTTATGGACTTAGAAAATTTCGACCTAATTCCAAGTGATTTTTGAAAAACTTTCAAGAATCATAACTTCTTCAATTTTAATCTTTTGAGGCTCATTCTTTTTTCCATGAACTCTTCTTGATGTCATGTACAAGTTTTCTTCAATCGTCAATAACTAATTATGCTTGGAAAGCCATGAAATTAATTGAAACATAATTGGTCATCTTTGATCATTTTGGACTTAGAGTTTTAAAGGCTTGTATTTTCACGTGTTTGTACAAACTTCAACATGCCATAACTTTTGACACAAGCATCCAAATACAACCTTTATTGCCACGTTGTGATCTTTGTGATGATGTGAATACATTGCAAAAATAGTGTGTGCAAAAATCCTCTTGTACAAGGTGCCCCAATGGTGTGAACATGCCCCCATGAAGCTGCATTTTTGCAGCATGACCAGATTTTCACCTCAATCAAATTGTGTTAACATGCCAAATTACCATACATTTTGTGCTTAAACATGATTAGGGAACTGGTCTGAAGTTAATTAACTCATAAAACACAAGTTTAAGTGGAGTTTTCATTCACATGAGATCACACTTTTCTCATTTTCGGTTGCACACGAATTCACTCATTTCTTGATCAATTCACATGCATAAACTTTCCAACATCATATCCTATAAATAGAGAATCCCACTCCATCATTCGTAAAGCTTTTGA